GCTCCGCCCACAACAGTTGACGGACACTGCCATATTAGCAGAGACCCCACCCTGAGTGAGCCACACACAACCCGCCATGTTTATCTTCAAGCTAGAGTGTTTAAAAGCAACATTCAAATAAGAGTGATTTTCTGTTTTTTTTTTATTTTATTGTTTGACCCATGTTAACAGCGTAGACAGCAGTTATAGATACTGTATATTACGCTGCTGTCACTTAATACACAGATCTAATATAAACATGCAATTTCTTTCCCAGCTGTTTAACTTCAAACACAACCGTGTTATTGTAACGTGTGTGTGTTTTTAACATAAACTTGTGAGTATTTGACAGTTTAAAGGGATAGTTCACCCAAAAATGAAAATTATGTCATTAATTACTCACCCTCATGTCGTTCCAAACCTGTAAGACCTTCGTTCATCTTCAGAACACAAATTAAGATATTTTTGATGAATTCCGAGAGCTCTCAGACCCTCCCATAGACAGCAAGGATCCTTACACGATCAAGGTCCAGAAACATAGTAAGGACATGGTTAAAATAATCCATGTGACATCAGTGGTTCAACCGTAATTTTACAAAGCTATGAGAATACTTTTTGTGCGCAAAAATAACGACTTTATTCAACAATTCGTCTCCTCCGCGTCACCCTGGCGCCATTTTGGAGTATCATATACGTAAACAATGTATGCTGTTCAGTGTCAGCAGCACCGTACGCATACGTCGTTTACATAGTTTACGCTTTGATCTGAATGTGAACAACATATCCGCATACATACATTGTATACATTGTTTACGTATGTGATACTCTCCAAAATGGTGCATAAAAAGTATTCTCTTTTGTGAGTAATTAATGACAGAATTTTCATTTTTGGGTGAACTATCCCTTTGAGCGCAGATAAGACATGAAAGAGAACTTAGTTTAGTACTCACGTGACACGTGACGACATCTTTCTGTGCGCGTGTTTCGGATGTGTGCTCTCAGAAAACTGTGAATCAGATGTTTCAACTGATATGGCTTTAAAACTCATGATTTCAATGAGATAGACATAACAGATGTTTTTTTTTGGCAGAGTGTCTGAGGCACAGCCCTATTCTGGAAAAGGGAGCTGGGAGCAGCAACTAATTTGCATTTAAAGAGACATGCATGAAAGCAGTGTGTTTCTGCTTCTACTCAAAATAGGCATTTTCAAAATGATATAATAAATGATCTGTGAGTTATTTTGAGCTGAAACTTCACATACATATTCTGGGGACCCCTGAGACTTATATCTTGTAAAAATGGGCCTAATAGGTGCCCTTTAAAGCAGAACTGTTAACATTGTTTAATACTGCTTGTTTTGCAATATCAAGAACATCCACTTGGACATTTATTCCCTATTAAAAAGAGCAACAGATTTTATGTTTTATTTGACTTTTTTTTCATAGGGTCTACAAGGAGACAGTGGGGATGCAGGAGTTCCGGGAAAACCTGGACCAAAAGGCTTGCCTGGGCCAACAGTATGCAACTGATTTTAGTCTGAATGATGAATCGATTAATTAATCAAATACTTTGTTTCACTCCTTGTTTATTTTAATTGATTTATTAATCAAATGTTGATTGTCTAATTGATGACACAATTGAAATGATACTGGAATAGAACAGTGTTTTGTTTTTTTTATCCAAAATGATGATACAATGTTCTGATCTATAGGGTGCCAAAGGAGAAACAGGACCAGATGGTGAAAAGGTGATATCAAAAGCACATAATATCAGTACAATATTAGCCACAAACATTTGTGTAGGCATTACATAAAACAATTCTATCACCTATGAATTATTTTTTTCATGACTCTCCCAGGGGGCAGTAGGGCGAAAAGGAGGGAAGGGTGTTAAAGGAGATAAGGTACGGCTGCTAGAATCTGAACTAGCCATCACAGTTTCTCTTCCTCTTTCCATTACACTAGCCACAGTTTTTATTTTAACCACAGTTTCGTCATCATTTCACTTCACAGGGAGGTGCTGGATCTCGTGGTGACAAAGGGCAGGTTAGTCTCACTGATGAGGTTTAACAATATTTTACGTCAGTGTGGCACAGCGGTAGTCCATGAGCTCATGACGTAGAACGACGCAGGTTTGACTCTGGACTACACAGTTTCCTCATTTCATCCTCAATCACTCTATTACTTGTCTTCA